CATCATCTTCATCATCTTAATCGTCGCCGTCATAATTTGCTCCTCATAATCTCTTAAAGCCATCGTTAATAAACTCCCATGTGGGGCTGTGGGCGTGTGTTTTAGTGCTGCTGTTTGTTTGGGTTGTTGTTTGTTTGCGTGTTTGAATGGAGGAATGAATGAATGAGTGAGTGAATGGAGGAATGAATGAATGAATAAATGAATGATTGAATAAATGAATGAATGAACAAATTAATGAATATATAGTATTTTACCTCTGTTTTAAATTTACTTTTAAAGGAAAATGGTAAAGAAATCAGACAAACCAGCCTCAAAATCCACATCCAGGTTATCTAACCACGAAGAACTCGGTGCAGACAACAACATTAAAGAAGGTTATTGAGATTAATTTTAAATTTATTTATTTAATATATTATTTTAAAAATATAATCATAGTTATCGTAAATTTTGTCATGTCTTCTTAATACTTTACTAAGAAGACATGACAAAATTTCTAAAATTCCATTCTCTCTCTCTTTCTCTTTCCTTTCTCTCTTTCTCTTTCATTCTCTTTCTCTCTCTTTCTCAAAAAAAGATAGTGAGATAGATAGATAGAGAGATAGATAGATAGAGAGAGAGAGAGAGAGAGAGAGAGAGAGAGAGAGAGAGAGAGGAGAGAGAGAGAGAGAAAGAGAGAGAGAAAGAGAAAACAAGAAAACAAGAAAAGGAGCGTAAGTTGAAACGTGTTAAACCAACGCATCATACAATTCTCTGCTGCGTGTAAATGTAAGACAATGAGGATTTCTTTGCATTCAAACTCGGCAGCTGCAACTGTGATACAGAAAGACAGATGTCTTCCCGACAACACTATAACTCTACTTTTAACCTTTTTAAAAAAGCGGTCTTCATCATCTTTCTGTTTAAAGCATTTTAAATCATGAGTACATTTCTAAAATAATTAAGGAATGATTAATTAGTGAAGAAAACATCGTCCTACCTCTGGGAACAACTGTGTCTCTGGACGCTGAACGATGATTGATTGATTGAATGAATGATTAAAAAAAAAAATACATATAAAAACACCAACAGAACCGTACGTATGTGCGGGAAACTTCAAGCAAGACTTCGAAGTTCTCTGCCAGAAGTTCACACTCATCTACACCCCACCCATCAAACCAAGAAAGCCTAAAATTAGTGCAAACGTTGACTCCTCCCCTCTGCCTGCTGCCACTCCAAATATCGACGAAAGAACTAAATCCAGTAAAGGTAGCAAGAAGAGTGTATCTAAAAATGAACTTAAGTCTGAATCAGTTGCTACTGTTAATAATGATGCTAGCGAGAATGATGCTAAGTGCCCGCCATCTGGCAAAGGTTTTA